TACTCTCCAAATATGTATACGAGATGCTATAAACGCATATTGTAAAAAGTTAACTATAACTGAATAAAAGGAGCCGGCCAAGAGGCCATCTTAACATCAAAAAAAAAAAATATATATACAGTTTTTTTAATAATATAGTATTAGACAATTTCTCAGACATTCTTCAAGATAAAGAAATACAAAGCTCAGATACTTCTCTTGATGCTAAAAGAGCTAGTATTGAAAATAAATTAAATAATTTTGAACAATATCTTGCTAATCTGCTTTATCCCCATACTCACACAGAGCTATTTGATGTTTTAGTATAGTGAAATGCAAATATACAAAAATATCCTTCTATATTATTGATAGTAAAAGATATTCTTGCAATTTTGATAACTTCAGTAGTATCAGAAGCAGTTAATAAACTTTTAAATTTTTAGTTATTATAGTGAAACCTCTATAAGTACATCCTCTATAAATGTATATTCTCTCTAAACATATGCTTAAATTTATATTCAGATCTATATATGATCTCTATAAATACACCTTTTTTTATTGTTCTCTAAGTGTATGTTATTAAAATTCAGTCTCAAGAGTATGCACTTATGAAGATTTTATTATATTTTTAATAAAATATAAGCTAACTTATTTTATATTTAGACATTTAGTACTGCTAGAAGAATTATTGATAACTATTGATCAAATCTAAATTCAGAAATAGTTAAAATATTAATACGTAATCAGAATTGAATAAAAAATATAGCAGACTAAGATTCAGTATTCTGGTAGTTTTTTTTCATGATTTTTTTATATATTTTTTTTTATTTTTGCAATTATTTTTTGTTATGCAATGTATTTAGAATGTGAATAAATACTAGGTGAATGCAAAACATTGTTTGTCTGGAACTTATTTAAATATATTAGAGTTTTAAACTTTTTTGTATTAAGTTAATTATCTTTGAATCTCTAATTAAAGTTGTAGAGCTCATTGAGATAATTCTAATGATAGTTAAATCATTAAAATCAGTCTAATAAATAGTATAATATCTTTGAAAATAGTTTATTAACTATATTATATAAAAATAGAACCCTAAAAAAGGCCTTATTTTTAATATAGTACCAAAAAAACTTATCTTTTTTTATAGATTAATAACATATAGAGGTGCATAATAAAAAAATAAAATTCAAAAAATAACTCTATTTTTAATATAATATCAAAAAAACTCATCTTTTTTTATAGATTAACAATATATAAGATATAGAATAAGCCTAAAATTTTTGTATAACCCTAAATTATATGAGTGAACAAACAGAAAATACAAAGTTACTTTTTTGATATTTTAATGGGTATCCGTTTGCTCAATATACTAAATTTAATACAAGAAAAAAAATTTTTTTAAAATTAAATATAAGATAAATTTTTTTAAAAATTTAAAAATATATTCTTTAAACCTAGCTTAATATCTTAAAACTATTTACTAATAAAATTTTGTATAAATTAATTACGAATTGTTGCTTTTATCTAAAATTTTTGCTATACTAAATTTAGTACAACAAAAAAATTTTATTTTTACAAACTATATAAAACAATAATACAAAAAAAAATTACAATTTATTTAAAACCTATTTATTGATTTGGAACATTTAAATTGCCAAAGATGCTTGCTATAACATTTAGTATATATTCCTTTTGTAGCATTATAGATACAATGATATTTAGTTCTTGTACTACAATATATACAATGTAATTGTGGATAAATCGTATTTTTTTTGGAGTTTTTCTTTTTTGGAAAAGGTTTTAATTCATGTGACAATTCTGTTTGCACCTTTTTTTTTGAAATCTCATATTTGGTGATAAAACTATATCATTAGAAAAAAGTTTACTAAGCATCTCATGTGCTAATAACCTTCTAAAATCAAAGTGTGACATATTATACGCATTTTTATCCTATTTTTTATATGTTAAAAAGGCATTCACTTCAGCAATTCCTAGTAAAAAAGCATATATACACATTTCTCAACTTGATTCGCATATAACATCATGAAAAGATATTATATTATCACGCACCTGCATAGTAATTAATATATTAGTACGTACGTACGTACGTACATATCAAAAAAATAAATTAATAAAATGTTGTATTACCATGTTACTATATTACTATATTCGTACTGCATTAATTATCATATTACAATATAAAAAGAAAATCGTAACAATAATACAATACAGTGAATATAATATTGCAATAAAAAAAATTGCATATCTGATTATTAATATTGACAGCACTCTTAGAGCAGGAATAATCATAAAAAATTTTTGGCCTTGAAAACTTAACTAATGAAGAGTTACTGCACTCTTTAACTACACGTTCAACCTCATTAGCAATTGTTGTTGTCAAGACAGTTGAAATAACACACTATGGCTTTCTATCTTTTAACGAAGCTGCAATTAAATATATATTATTAATAGTTGTAACTTTTGAATAATAGGATCTGTATGCAAGTTTTTGAACTATGTCTCGAGGATAATTTAGAGGCCACTCTTGCCTTTTCTTAATATGAAAAATGCTATATAGTCCATTCTCTATTAGTGCTATGCAAAGCTTCAGGGATCCAAACCAACTATCACCAATTATTATTCGCCTACTGCCAAACCATGGCTATACTAATCGCAAAACATATATAGTTGTACTACTATACTCTAAAACAAGCCTTTTTTTTCAATGTTTTTATCTTCACAAGACTCTAGCTGAATGATAATATTTGTAGAACTATTGGTAACTACTTTCCATTCTTGTCCTACTGGATATGGTTTGCGAGGTATTTTGCGAAAACCTGAAATCTTGTTTTTATAACCTAACCATAAATTTATTAATTCATCAATGCATAACGTTCTTCCAGGCTTTATAGCCTTAATTAGATTTTTATTGAAAGTATTAACAAAGCTACGGATGGAGTACAACAGATCATTAAAATTGGATACTTCTAATTCCTATGGCATTATTAAAGTATAGTATGATACGATTTGTTCAAATCACGAAAGAGACATCCAATATTGAAAATTAAAAGCATTTATAGGTTTATATGCTCTAGTATTGTTCTTCAATAAAAGTGATGATCAGATATAGGAAAAACAGACATCAATACCCACAAGCCTAACCACTTCATATATTCAACAAAATTTATATCAACCCAGTTTGGAGTTTCTCTTCCACGTATATTAATTGCGTTAATTACATATTGTTTAATATAATTAACTGAAAGGTACCGACACAGCAACTTATAAGGTGAAGCTAGACCAATAAGTTCTATATTAACACTATATTTATGGTTATATGTCAGATGAATTTCACATTGGTCAATAGTTATAGGTTGTTTTTTCTAGTTTACCATCATTGAAAGATCGATTGTCCTGCTTATATCATCTTCATCTTCATCATTGTCGTTATCATCATCATCAAAACTACATTCACCATTATCAGAAAGTTCTATTGGTATTGTTGATGATAGTAACCTTTCACTAACTAAGGTATCTTGCTGTTCATACTGTTCATACCGCAGATTATCTGCAAGAATATCAACGACTATGTTTTCGATTTTTTCTAGATTGATTCAATATTTTAAACGTTCACCTTCATTTAGCTCTCCAATGACTATACCATAAAAATGTTGGTTCCTCTAGTTGCTACCACAATTTTGTAGATATTGGAGTACTATCTTCTTTGGCAATATTGATGCCTTACAACTAACCCATCCTTCAACTGTAATTTTACTTGATATTCTTGGCATTGTGTATTATATAATCAGAATTGTTCTTATTTAATTTTTATTACTATTATTTTTTTTTTGTTTTAATGTTCAGATTTTTCTTTATGCTACTAATTTATTGGTTCTTACTTTGTTTACACAATAGTGCTTTGCGTAGTTTCTACCCTTATACCTCTATATATGAATAACGGCAACACATAAGACAAAGCTTATACTAACCAAAAAAAATGCGAATAACTATTACTTTTTACGTACAAGATAAGGTCTTGAAAATCTACTTTTTGGTAACAATACTTTATTGTTATATTTATTATTAATACATGCATTATCGTTGTTCTAAATCTGTCATAATCTTGATTATGAGTATGATCAAGATTGAATATGATGTATAATATAACGTATAATATGATATATAATATAATATATAATATGATGTATGGTATAATCTGTAACACTGCGCCTTAGCTCTAGTGCCGTAAATTTCAAAGTTAAGAATCTTTTGGATATGTTAAATAAATAATTTATAATCTAAATATCGAATAGATTTCTTTTTTTTTAGTTGGATATAGGCTGAATTTTTTAAAAAGTATAGTTAAAATTTGATCAGCGAAGATGATCCAACATGACAATACTCTTTAAAAAAAATTTTCTTATGCCCAATTGGCAAAGATACATGACTATAAACTTATTACTATAATAAACTATATACTCTTACCTATGTTTTATAAAAGTTTCATGTAATTATTAATAGTATTTTTTTTGTTTTATCTTCATTTGAAGACTATATTAAATTTAGTATTTTGTACTAAATTTAGTATACCAAACAGATACCCATTAATATATAATGCATTAAAAAAGTAATTTTTGTATCACAATACATAGAAATAAATAGTCTGTTACTTTGTTCCAGACAATTAAATATTACTGTATAAGTAGATTATTTTAAATCTTTAGA